TAAGAACCAGACTTTCCAAATTAGGGATGTGCGATAGATTTACCTCCACGTGGTGCACCCTGGGCAACGTATACTCATACGGCAAAAAAGTCTATTAATCGGCAGTTAACTTCTGACCCACTGTATGTCATATTCGACTACTTCCACAGTACTCACCTCACCTTTTTTCTAAATTTTCTACCCTTGTCTTTGAAACATTCTTCTGTTCCCCCTCTCGACTATTTTTTCACTTTGATGTTCCTTCCCCTCTGTGAAGCCTGAAGTCAACTAAAGGGCTAATGATAACCATCAAAACGCCTGCCATTTGATACAAATTAATAAAACCTTCCAAATTACTACCCACGACACGAAATTAGTGGTATCAGTGACTAAATATGGTGTGAGGTCATGAATGCAGCGAAAAGTCGAAAGGTTTTCTAATGTCGAGAAGTTGGAGAAAACGAGGTTACTATCAGGAAAATTTCATGAACATCTCCATCGGTACCTCCAAAAATTGGCACCGGAGTCATGACAAATTGAAACGGATAATAAATATTTAATTAAAAAAGCTTATTCACTTATTTACTTAAATTATTTATATCATCACCAAGCAAAAAAACATCAAGTCGGTTAAGCATACATTATCCAATAATAAACGATCTTTATTCAAAAATTCAACTGTGCTAATACCAAAGTTGATAAATGGAAAAGGGAATAATGCACATTATAGAATGGCACAATTAAAAGAGGTATTGTCAAAATGAACAAATCGCGCAATAGGTGAAATGAACATTTTTTTCTAGAAATGAAGTTGCTCTGAAGCTAAACTAGGGTGGGGGAGGGGGGGGGAGATAGGAATACAATCTTTGCAACTCCTTCCTGTCGCCATCAACCAGTTCAATTGGCCGTTTCGATCATGGGATGTGACATTGAACCTCTCGAAGAGGCTGTTGTGTGCCACCACCCCCTATTACCATTCTAATTTTCCACACAGTTAATTGCCCTTCAAGACAAAATTGTGTCAATATAAACAGTTAAAGCTTAGCAAAAAAGCAAAGTGATAATATAAATGGAAGACTTAACTAATCATTCTTTTAATTTACAAACCCCTTTTTCTACAAAAACTGATCCCGTATTTCATCAGGTGATCGAGTCACTTTAAAGTTATTGAATATAGATCCACATTTTAAGAGAGAATGTTTCAAGGCTATTTAAAAAAAACAAGTTACACTTACTAGCGACAAAGATAATTTAGAAAAGATAATAAAATAGGACAATTTCTGAAATGATGATGGGTTTTCCTAACTATTTAAGCCCAAAATAACATGGAAAAAATATCTTATGGGAAATGAGGTTATTTAGTAACAATTTTGGAACATTCGGGTCTAAAGTTACTAAACAAAATCGTTCAAACACAAGTGACCTTTGATAAAACAAGATGTTTCAAAAAGTTATGTTTCACTGCAACTTCACTATTGACAATGCTGATTATAACAGTGTGTTTTAGGGTTAAGATTTAAAAGGTGAAGCAGAACCAACGGTATTTAAATTGGCGGTGCCTTCTGAAACATATTTTCAAAGCTCATTGCAGATTGGCTAATGACAAATTTGAAACTTCCATTCAGACATCTGTAAATCCCCTAAGTATATTTTACTCCAAACTTCAAATATGGCAGACAATCAAAATGGGTCTATTGATTGATTTTATCAGCACTTACTCAATGTTCAGCTGAGCCTTTCCATTCGCCAATTCGTCGTGAGGCAAGAGGAGGTTGGAAGTTGGTCTTACTCTTGGAGATCTGTGATCAGCAACCACCGGAGGTCTTCTTGGTAGCGACCTTACTCTAGAAGACCTTGGAAGAGTGCTCGATGTAGAAGAGGGTGAAGACGCGGCAAGTGGAGAACAACTTTCCATGGAATTCTCCGGTGAGGGTGTGTATACAAGTGGTATTGAAGGTGCCTGAGGAAAGGAAAAAGAACCTTTGAATGAGTAAAGATGGAACTACTATTGCTTGAAATGAAACGTCATCTATTTAGCCCTCGTAAAATTCCGCTTTCTACTTGTCACCAAGTGCTTAACAAAGTGGATAGTGCGTGTTAAAAACTAAGGGCTAGCGATATTTGTTTAATAAATTCTCGAGACCGCGGATGCAGTACCGGCATTAGAGATCTATTTAAATGTTGACCATGATGTCTGAACGAACTGTCTAGTGCCCCGCTTGAGAGAAAGCGAATACAACTAACTGGTAACTTAGGAAAAATACAATTTTTAAATAGACAAGGAATAAAAAATTAGCAACTACGTGCGAAACCCCCAAAAGACCCCAGGAAAAATACATCTGATCTAATTCACATAGCCTTTTATGTCAGCTACACCTGATTGGTGATACAAACAAGACACTTTTGAGGACATGAGTGAGTCAATTGTACTCAAGTCTCCGGGTCTCAAATGAAATTTAACATGTATTCTTAGGCTGATAACCCGATCGGTAAAAAAATATGACTCAGCTACTAGCAATTGCTCAACGTCTTAATATTGAAAAAAGAGAGAATAAATTGGAAGATAATTTCTGGTTCAACTGCCAATGGTGGAAAAACTGGCAGACGGTGAAGAATAGACTCGTTCAAAGAGACTGCTTATTTTTCACGATTCAGTCGTCTTTGACCACATATTCACAGGGCTAAGATAAGCTACGACGACAATCAGACCTATTTATTATTTGCTGAAACATGCCAAAAACAAAACAATTCCATTTTCACATGACATAAAAATCCGTTTCAGATGAAATCGAGCTAGAATACTACACAGGAGTTAATTGCAAGCGAAGCCCTCAAAAAATGTAACTGAAAATTCATTTTAATAGCGTATTTATAATAATTTGCCTTTTTGACTAGGAATATAATGAAAATTTCTCCTAAAATGAACATAAGGGCTATTCCACTCACCTACTCTTCAAATTTAAGACTTTAAAATCGTATATTCTCTGGTTAATTAGCTTACTACGGGATAAAATTGTTATTAATATAGACATGTGTTATTATGGTGATTGGTAAACCCAGAAGTTATGTCTCTAAATTTGTGAAAAGAATTATTCTTTTCACAGTTGCACATGTTTAATGAGGTGCTGGCCCATAAAAATTGGCAGAAGTACACAATACAACTGATATAAAATTGCAAAACCCCCACATCATTAATCAACCAATCAGCAAATTAGTAAAAATCCAAGTTGGACCCTACATGTGGGTGTGGATATCAGCACGAATAAGCTGACTGCAATTTGACTTAAACACAATAGGGTGAATTGACACGTGACAAATGGAAAATACCGTTGAGTGTAAATGTTACGACGGGAAAAGAGTAATTGGAGAGGGGACAAAGTGGGAGAAGGAGATACAGGTCACATTATTTGCATATTAATTAAAAATCAGTTTAAATTACTACTGTGAGACAAATAGGAACTGCATATATCAAGCTGTAAAGAATTGACATTAGATTATCAAGGTCAGAATATTGATAACAGGGATTTGTTAAGGGGTTAAGTAAGACACCCCAGTTCTCCTCACAAGGTGAATACCTTTCCATCTTGAAATGAATCCGTTGCAAATCTAAGCTAAACCTAATTTGACATCACACATGTCATTAATGGTTGTTGTGGGCAAGACATGAAATAATGGGGAAGCCAAGTTTACTTTCATTCAAGATTGTTTTTTTATGGATTAAAAAATGCACTAGCATTCACTGCGTCAAACAGAATACGGATTTCCGCATTGAGAACCTTTTGTAATTATTATTCTATTATCCGGAATGCCATTGCTTCCACGTCTATGGAAGCTTTTTTTGATCGTATAGAGAAATGACTGAATCCAAATACCATGATTAATCAGCCAATAGACTTAATCGCAAAACTGACAAAAAATGATGAGGATGAAATCACATAGAAGTCCAGGACTCAAATCATGGGAATTGAGGTCGGAACCTTTGAGTAATAAAAAGTTAATGACAATTAATATAGGACGGCGGTGATGAAAGTTTATTGCTACTAGAATTCGACTAATTTATGACGCATGACAATTCCATTCAAAGTCCCATTTCTGCCTTAACTGCGATATATATTTGAATTTTAAGCGGTTAGATGCTATCTCATGTTCAAATAGTTATATAATTTTCTTTTAGAAATACCATTGTAACTATCAGTAAATGACCCTTTAGACACACCTATCTATTCCGTTCCATGCACTGAACGAGTGCCTCCAGAAGAGCGTTTTAAGAAACTAGAAGTGCCTTTAGCACATAACCCTCAAATAACCGGAAACCTTTGGCTGACTTATTTCAGTAATATATATAAAGATTAAATTTTGTTGATAGAAATTTTTACCTGCTGTTTTAGCTCCTCGCTTCCGGCGACCTAAAATGAGTGAAAAAAGGGTATGTAAAAATAGGAAGCGATAAAAGGTGCTATTGACAAATTTACCGCAAATTAGCCAATAAATTGCCACTCAACATACCGCCTTTTCTTCTAGCTTAGTTCAAACAATTTTGAAAATCATTAAAGAATGTTGGGAAGTCGATTGGGTGAGTGGGGGAGGGGGAGGGGAGAGGGCATTAGAGGTTGGATCAGGAAAATGCTAAGAAGTGGGAATAAATTTACTGTATATTTTAGGTAGCACTACGCGAGAATAAGTGAGTGGACAGTTGTGAGAATTCTAACATACACATATAAATTCTGTATTTAGACCTTGAACTTATGAACTATAGCAGTCTAGTGGTTTGTTAGATGAAGGTCTTGATAGTCAATTACTAAAGTCATCAACATTTCTATGCATGTTTTCTTTTTTTTCAAATTGAGCCTCAATTTATTAATTACTTATTTATTTACTTAATGGGGATAACTTTCCAGCCAACTAATAAAGGCCTCACTTAAGCATATGATTTAACCCTTTAACACTCATAGGACCGTACGGTCTTCTTTCAAAATAAGCTCCATTGGTACTAGACTCCTAACAGAAGACGCTATTGGAATTTGAAGCACATTCAATACATCTACAGCCCTCGCCTGATACACCACTAAAACTCATCACATTGGCGGCATCAGCCTGCTGTAAGGCATGGGTGAGTGCGGTTGGGTGCATTTTTTAACAAGTAATAAGTCGAACGTTAAAGGGTTAACGTAGTCCTTAAGATTAATGCGAAGCAGTTAAAATGAGGCTATATATCAGCATATCCTTACCAATCTCACTCGACAGGTCTGTTGAGCACAGGTGTTGTGCTGTATAGGCGGTCCGGTGGCACTCGGTTGACTGTACTTCTGAACATACGCAACAGTCTTAGATCTTTCATGGGGTCCTTGACCCGACTCCCGTTTACACCACTTGGCATGGAAGAAATCAGAGACGTTTCGAGTTATTCGGCTCTCCAAATTTTGATCCTGCGGATCAGAACGTCCAAATTTGTACATGTAGCTTGTCACTACAAAAAGGAGGCAATTAGGCAAGTTTTTTTTCAGCCAATCAACAGTATCAATCTTCAGAGATGCGAGGATATTTCAAGCATTGAAGCTCAGTTGAAACGCTATTTAAATTCAGCAAGATAATGAAGAAGTATCAAGAAAATACTGGAATAAATGCGGTATCATGCGCTCAACTTAATGTTTACGTGAAATGAATGCCATTTTTAGATGAGTTTAAAGTTCTCGAACGTTTGTTTTTGTTGTACATGGGTAATACAACGGATAAATCGTCTTTGGAGTTTCACACCCATCTGACAATAATGCTTAAAACTACACACACACACACACACACACACACACACACAC